GGCGTCCTCCCCTCCCCCCACTCAGTGGGTTAACCAGTTAAGCATTACGTATAACTGGTTAACCAATGAAATGGGATTTTACATCTCTAGAAACTTCTCAGTAACCATCCATGCAAATTGTTCTAGCATCCCTGCTACAAACCCCCCCAAAATGGTTCCTGTCCCCAAACAGTTTATTCTGTGCCCCATGACGTTAGTCAGACCTAGTAATGGTTTAGGAATGTTCTGGCACAGAGCCAATGGTAGAGATGTTCCTTTTCTTTCCATTTTTTGTGTTTATTTCAGCACTGCCTAAACAGAAACCTATGAAATCTGGTCTGATGCTGCACCACGTCTTGTTTTACAGACATTTTTCCAGTAATGCGGTATGGCTGCCTTACACACGTTGCCAGCCAAAATGCATGAGTCAGGCCCAAAAAATCATTAAATTTAAAAACAACTTTTTTCTTTACCTTCTGGTTTCTGACCCAGTAGGGTTCCCTCAGGTCATATTTTCAGGCTTTTTTTTTCTTGCAGTCAGAAGGACTGATACTACTTAATGAAAGCAAGAGGGTCATATCATGGGAAGTTCAGGCCCAGGATTGGTATTAAAACATCAGATATTGCAAGGCTCATAATAAATCATGCATGTTTACACTAAGGCTGTTGTATAAGCAAATTGTTACAGTGCCAAGAGGATCCGCCTTTTAGTTTCTGTAAGTCTGAAAACTGGATCTCAGTGCAGGGTTGGAAACATTTCATGGGTAGAGCTGTCTCAGAGCCCAGGTGCTGTCTAAATGTCAAGTCTCAGTGGTGTCTGGTGAGAAAGCAAGGTCTTTGCAAAGGGTATGTATTGTTCTTCCTCCAGAAACTAAGTGGGCCTAAATCCATGGTACTGCTTTGTTGTCCTGGGCGCTTTCATGTCTTCCTGTTGAAGTGCACATGATGATGGCTTAGTGCTTGTGAGATCTGGGCAGACCCTTGCTCCAGGAGCGGCAGTCTGAATGGCTTGACTCTTCTCTATAGCTATCGTGAGCCTGATGAAGCCCTTTCCCTGTCCTCAAATGTCCTTGGTTTCTGTGGCTCTGGACTGTTTCTACTCAGCTCAAACCTCAGCCAGAAGGGCTAGAACCGGCAAAGCTGGTGACTCTAAACCTGCTTCTCTTTTGGGTTCCTGTAACCTACTGGTGTTTCCATAGCTGCTGATCTGAGGGTGAGTTAAAGGGAGCCGTCCCCTAGCTGGGGGCCTGGTAGTGATGGGAGAGCAGTGGCGCCAAGCGGTTGTTTTGCATGTTCAGAATCTGTAGTGGCACAGGGCCCCTTGGACTGACTCTGAGGCTATGTCTACACTGCAGGGTTTTTGCGCAAGAAGTCTTTTGTGGAAGAGTTCTTGCACAAAAACTTCTTGTGCAAAAGCATGTCCACACCTCAAAGCGCATTTGCTTTTGTGGTGCGCTTTTGGACAAGAGAGCGTCCACACTGCATGGACGCTCTTGCGCAAGAAAGCTCTGATGGCCAGTCGCAGAATGGCCATCAGAGCACCTGTGCTTTTGCCGATAGGGATTTCTTGTGCAAAAACCCCTCTGGAGTGTCCACACCTGCCTTTTTGTGCAATACCTTTAGCACCAAAAGGAGTTATGCCTCGTAGAAGGAGGTTTACCTGCACCAGAAAAAGCCCTCTGTTCTGCCGTATTACTGCTGATTTACTTGCGCAAAAGTGCATTTGAGGTGCAGACGCTCTGCAGGTTTTTGCACAAAAACCTTGCAGGATAGACGTAGCCTGCTTGAGCGCCCTGTGGCTGGAGCGTCCTTCTTGCTCTGTAGAAGTGAGCAAGAGTCCCCTTCAAGTCTGGGCAACTTCTTAGCCTGAGCTGTCTGACTTCCTTGTTGGGCTGTGATTGACAGGACACTGCTACTGCTGTTTGTCCTGCACTGACAGCAAGCTCGGCGCTGTAAGCAGCAGACTTCATTCCCAAGCCACGGTGCCTAGAACAAGCAAACCTGAACAAGGAGGCCCTCTTTGTTACTGCCACTTGATGCGCCACCATCACGTGCCTGCCTTGCCCTGTGCATTACATTCATAGTCAGAAATTCCAAGGCCAAAAAGCACTGTTGCGGTCACTTGGTCTGGGCCCCTGGATAACACAGGCCAGAGAATGTCCCAGCTGCTCCTCTGGGGCTAGAACATTTTTTTAAATTTAAAAAAATAAATCCAGTCTTGATTTTAAATAAGGCCAGTGATGGAGAATCCATCAGTAGTTCTAGTGGCTACTTCCACTCCTGGTTAAACATGTGCAGCTCATTTTCAGTCTGAATTTGTCTTGTTTCAACTGGAAGCTGTTAGATTGGGTTACACCTTTCTCTGCTAGCCTGAAGAGCCCAGTATCAAATATTGGTCCCCAAGTAGTTATTTATGGACGGTGATCAAGCCACATCTTAAGCTTCTCTTTAAGCTAAGTAGAGCAAGCACCTTGAGTCTACAGAAGGTTTTCCAACCCCTTACTCATTCTTGTGGCTCTGCTCTGAACCTGCTCCAATTTATCAGTATCTTTGAATAGGGACACCAGAACTGGGCATCATATCCCAGCACCAGTGTCACGAATAGCGGTAAAATAACCTCTCTGCTCCTGCAGGAGAGTCCGTTGTTTGTGCATCCAAGGGCTGCAGTAGCCATTTTTGCCACCACATGATGCTGGGATCTCATATTCAGCTGATTCACCATGACACCTAAATTTGAGTGCATGCTTTCTGGGATAGAGTCCCTCATCCTGCAAGCAACCTGGATTTCTCTTAGTGACCTGTCCTGTTGATTATTTACAACTCCCCCAGTCTGTGTTATCTGCAAACTTGCAGGAAAAACTTAAAAAAACCCCAAATAGTCTGGTGATACTTTGAAGACTAACAAAACATGTCAGTGGGATCATGAGCTTTCGTGGGTACAGCCCACTTCTTCAGATGACCTGAGTGTTGGATGTAACTCTGGTTGTGAAGCTTTTGAACGTGCAAACTTACAGTGACTTTTGTTTTCCTCCAGGTCCTTGTGGGGCTAAGCCCTGATCCCTGGGAGACCTTTCTAGAAACACACCCTGTTGAGAATATGATTGGAGAACCTTCGGGGGTAGCCGAGTTAGTCTGTTACAGGAAAAAACCCGCAAATGGTCTGGTAGCACTTTATAGACTAACAAAACATGTAGATGGGATCCTACGGAAGCTCATGATACCATCTATGTGACTGGAGAACCATCAGTTAGGCAGGCTCCCTTGCGGGCACTTCAGTCCCTTGTCAATGCCACGGGGCTTGGCAGAATTCACTTTCTCTTTCATGTTGTCTCCTGGCTGACAAGGCAGGCATGACTGTCCGTATGCTGGGGCTGCTCTCATGGCTTCACTTGTGCTGAAAAGGCTCTGCCAACGCTGAAACCTTCCCTTTGTGCAGCCAGAGATGACCCGCCCCTCGACTAACAGCTCCCGTTTGCTCATGGCCACCTTGCTTGCTCAGTTCAGGTCTCTGATCTTGAATCTGTCTTCAAACAATAAAACATGCTTTCCAGATCCACAGTAGCTTTCCACTGAGCTGGGGAATGCCAGAGCTAAAGTGTCTTTGTGATAATGCCTCAAGCCCTGAAAACTGCCTGCAGTGTTGTTGATGAAGTTGTAGAGGCCAAGTCTTTCGAGGGCCTGGGGACTTTGCCTAACAAGGCACCTTCAGGAGGCCTAGTTTTCAGTTGCAAGTGCTCAGCACTTCCTGGAATTGGGGACCCTTTTATGGTATTATGTTTGGCTTCCCAAATTGTACATCGCTCTCAGGAATCATAGTCTGGGCATTTTAAGATGTTCCTGCTGGGACATTTCAGTGTTTTTTTGATTTTTCTGCTCTTAAATGTGTCTAACCAAGGCTGTTCCTTTTTCCTGCTGGCTGCCCAGAATTGGGAGCAGCCCCCAGTGAAAGGGAAAGGAGTAGGAAGGGACCAGCCCTGCCCCTCTGTTTGGGAATGGACAGAGTTCTTCTGCCTCAGTGCGTCAGGGAATGAACATTCATTTCCAGTGTCCCAGGAGAAGCAATGGCCCTTGAGATGGGTGGCACAGTGAGAGGCTGTTTGCATGGACAGAGTGGTGGACCTGCAGAGATGAAGATGAAGTCAGATAGAGGGTCATGGTTACAAGTGGATAGCTTATTGTGCTCTTTTTAACCTGACTCATGCTAATTCTTTTCTGGACTCACCCTGCAGAACCATTACCATCCACTCACAGCTTCTGTATGGCTCTCTGTTCTCTTCGCTGCAGGTGAGTCTGGCGACAGATAGAGGGAGAAAAGAGTCTGGATTTGGCCTGAGAGGTCTGGACCCAAGCCTTGTGATGATGGTGAGTACTTTCTCTAGGCTCTCTGCCTATGCCTTTGGTCCATCTCCTTTGCTCTCTTCAGAGTTTTACTCTTTCTCCCTGCAATAGTGGGGAAGCTCCACAGTCCATGCACCTACCATCAGTGTCTTATGTTCCAAGCTGTGGCCATAGCGTCTGAAATAGGAACCAAATTGCTGGGGAATGGAGTGAGAATTAAGTTGAAGAAAGTTATCAGAAAATAAGCCTGCGCCCCTGCTTGATGACACCTGTGAAGATGGTGTTATCTGGCAGCATTTGTGTGCTAGCCCAGGCCTCTGGGCATTAGAATTTTCCCACCTTCATCACTGGAGGGCCTAGGATCCTAGAATCATGTAAAAGGCCTCTTGGCTCTGGGAGTGGATGGTTAGGTTGCCATGTTGCTTTGAGGAGTGATGTCACTCCAGTAAAGGTAAGAGCTGGTTTCCTCCTCATCTGAGATTATATCCTGGTGGGAGGATTTCTCTAGCCATAGGATCCAGGTAGAATAAGGGCGCTAGCCCTGGCAACTAAGAGAGGAGTGTGTGCACTTACGGCTATTTCATGCAGAATCTAATTGCTGGTTAGTGCACTAGACAAGTTGTGTTGGTAAAGCCATCGGGCTCTAGAGAGCTACCATGGACTGACTCTGGGGGTGAACCCAGCAGAGCTTGTGAATCAGAAGCTGTACAGCTTTTCTAGCAAGGCGGCTGAGTTTTGCGTGCAGAGCAGGGATGGGGAACCTGCGGCTGGCCTTGAACTGGCCCATGAGGCTCAGGGCTCCTGCCCCTCAACCCCCACAGTGGGAGGAGAAGCTCAAGGGGTGGGAGGTGAGGGTCTTTCTTTCTCTCTCACAATTGGCCCTCAAATGATTTTACTGTGGGTCAGTGGCCCCCAACCCACAAATAGTTCCATGCCTCAGAGATAGAGCTTGTTAGTAGTAAAATCCAGGTAACCAGAGATGTACCAGCTCATGAGCTGCTTTGGCAAAGCCTGTGGCAGTGAGTTCTGACTAACACCAGTTATTTCTCCTCCTTTTTTAAAAAATCCTTTCAGAAAAATTTGCAAAATTGAAGTACTAAGATTCCTGTTTTTCTTAAGATACGTGTATGTTAATCTTCAGTGCTAATGTGTGAAATACAAAATGTAAAGAGAAAATGGTACATAAATTTACAGTTTTGTCTTCAAATAAAAGACACTGTGAATCTCTCTTGGAGCAATACTAACTCTGCTGCACTGCACTTGTGCAATATTTTGGGTTTCTAAAGTGGCTGTTAAATGTATTGCAGTCTTGCCGTGAATCTAGTTTCTCCATAGATCAGATTGGCACTAGTTTCTGTTAGGTGTGTGTGTAAAAATCAGACTTTTATTGGGCTGGGTTGGAACTTTGGGAGATCAGAAATGAGAGACAGGTGGGTGAGGCTTCTAATATTGGCAGAACTAAACCAAGCCATTTCAGTCTTCACAAGTCCTCTCCAGGAAGACTTTTTGGAAAATTGGCGAGGAATCCTGTGGCACCTTCTAGACTAACCAAAGTGTTGGAGCATAAGCTTTCGTGGGCAAAGACCCAGTTCGTCAGATGCATGCATGTTTCTGGAAAATTGACACTAAATGATATGGTTGAGAGGGGAGGCTTCTTAAAAGGGTTTTCGCTTTCTGTAAAGGTTTTGTGTTTTTTGGCTGCTCATATCCCAAAATAAAATTTCCAAGTCTTCTGCTGAAGTCTCACGACTTGCCAGGCCTTTCAGTCTTACCTGACAGGACATTGTGTATCAGTGATGATGGACAATACAGTGGTAATGTTCTATATCCAGGGGTGCACACTCTTCTCCCTAGTGCCAAGAAGCCCTCCTGCTGTGGGACTTCTGTGTAGAACATTTGATTATTGTGCAAATGTCTTACCTCCCAGGAGTGCAGTAGGATTGAAGGAGTTAAGTAGGAGTTAAGGAACCACCTCAGCAGGTCGTTTCAGGGTCACAGGTGGTTGTGAACTCAATCTTCCAATGCTGAGGCTTTCCCTATTCAACACGAGACTCAACAGGAAGTGCCAGCAGTTCTGCTCCTTCCAGAACCACAGCCTGCGATCCACTGTGGATGCATTCCTCTTCATGTGGGGAGATTGTCCGCTGTCTCCCTTCCCACTCATACCGCTCTTAGACAAGGGTTCCCTCGAGATCAGGGGGAGACGGGCTCAGGTCATATTGATTGCGCCAGCTTGGGCTCCTCAATATCAGTACAGATCTCCTCTAGACGTGTCCATAGATATCACAGTCACCCTACTGTTCTTCCTGGACCTTCTGACACCTGTGGAGCCTTCGACAGCCAAACCTGGAAAGGCTGCAACTTAGAGCATAGAAGATACCGCTCATCTCCGACTATCTTCTCAACCTTAAACAGCAGGGCCTGTTGGTGTCCTCCATTAGGGTCCATCTCGCCGCCATATCTGCTTTCCACCTGGGTACACAGGGTCATTTGGTGTTTACCAACCCACTTGTTAGCCAATTTTTAAAGGGCCCGGACAGGCTCTACTCTCAGGTCCTGTTCCTCCTGGGGCCTTAACTATGTCCTTTCCAAACTTATGGGTCCACCATTTGAACCATTGGCCGCTTGTTCCCTGATCTGTCTCTCTCACAAGGTGGTTTTCCTGGTTGCAGTAACTTCTGACAGAAAGGTGTCTGAGACTGATGCAACTGTATCTGCATCCACCCTTCCTTCCAAAGGTGGTCTCCAATTTTCATATGAGCCCAGATATCTTCCTTCTAGTATTTTACACAAACCGCACTCTAGCACTAGAGAACAGTTTCCATTCCCTTGGTGTGCGTAGGATGGTCTCTTACATTGATAGAACAAGACCTTCAGGAAGTTGACTCAACTATTCATAGTGGTGGCTGACAGAATTAAAGACTAGTCCATATTATCTCAACACATCTCATCCTGAATAGTGTTCTGTACCAGGAATGCAGTGGCCTCACAGATATGCCATTGCCCCCACTCACTGCACCCACTACCTGAGCCTAGGCTTTTTCCACAGTGTTCCTCGCTCAGAGCCCTACCCAGAAGATCTGTAGAGCAGCGACCTGCTTTTCAGTACGCACTTGCTGCACACGACGCAATTGCACAGACATAATCAAGGGGTTGGAGAGTTCGTCTTTCAGATTCCAAGTGGTAAACTGGGAACCATGTCTATTTTAACCTAGGAAGTAGGACACAAGTTTACAAGTCTCCAGTCTGTGGAAAAAGGGGGGAGAGTTATTTTTTTAGTCCAGTACAAGGAGTAAGGGGATGAAATTAAGAAAGGGACAATTTAGGTTGAATGTCAGAACTTTCCCACCTGTGAGATCAAAGAACTGGCAGAATCTCCCAAGGGAATTGGAGGAAGCTCCCTAGTTGGTCTCTTAAAATAGGAAATGGAAATTATATCTCTGGCTCAGTCCTACGGCCCATACTCCTGCAAATTGGCAATGATTTCTGTGCCTTGCAGGTTCAAGTGCTTGGAGAGCAAGCATTAGCAAGTGGCTCTATTAGTCATGCATGCAACTATTGTCCTATTAGAAACCCTCTATTGTGCTCCACTGCAGCATTTTCAAGAACCCTCCCTGGTCTGAAAACCAGTGCATTGTGAGGCCAGAGGAGAATTTCTTGCAAAGCTTGAAGAAAACGAACCCAGTCTTTTGGAGCTGAGAAATGGAAATATACTTTTCTGTGCCCCTTTATTGGGAAGCGGCTTGGTTTTAGGGCTGCAAACTCTACGGACCAACATGCTTTGGGAGCGAGGGCTGAGATGAAATTGAAGCAAATGTTGATCCGCTTGAGTAAATACCCACCATTTTCTCAAGTTACAAATTGATTCTGAATGAAGAAACGCTTTCCCTGCTGGACTGTGGCATGAATAAAAGTTTTTGATGTGCTGGGGCAGTGATCTGGATAGTCACTCTTTAGAGGGGGTGGAGACCTCATGGGAAGTGTAGGGGTTCAGGGGTGCGTTCACCCCCTCTCTGGGGGAGAGGGGGGTGTCTCACAGATATGCCATTGCCCCCACTCACTGCACCCACTACCTGAGCCTAGGCTTTTTCCACAGTGTTCCTCGCTCAGAGCCCTACCCAGAAGATCTGTAGAGCAGCGACCTGCTTTTCAGTACGCACTTGCTGCACACGACGCAATTGCACAGACATAATCAAGGGGTTGGAGAGTTCGTCTTTCAGATTCCAAGTGGTAAACTGGGAACCATGTCTATTTTAACCTAGGAAGTAGGACACAAGTTTACAAGTCTCCAGTCTGTGGAAAAAGGGGGGAGTTATTTTTTTAGTCCAGTACAAGGAGTAAGGGGATGAAATTAAGAAAGGGACAATTTAGGTTGAATGTCAGAACTTTCCCACCTGTGAGATCAAAGAACTGGCAGAATCTCCCAAGGGAATTGGAGGAAGCTCCCTAGTTGGTCTCTTAAAATAGGAAATGGAAATTATATCTCTGGCTCAGTCCTACGGCCCATACTCCTGCAAATTGGCAATGATTTCTGTGCCTTGCAGGTTCAAGTGCTTGGAGAGCAAGCATTAGCAAGTGGCTCTATTAGTCATGCATGCAACTATTGTCCTATTAGAAACCCTCTATTGTGCTCCACTGCAGCATTTTCAAGAACCCTCCCTGGTCTGAAAACCAGTGCATTGTGAGGCCAGAGGAGAATTTCTTGCAAAGCTTGAAGAAAACGAACCCAGTCTTTTGGAGCTGAGAAATGGAAATATACTTTTCTGTGCCCCTTTATTGGGAAGCGGCTTGGTTTTAGGGCTGCAAACTCTACGGACCAACATGCTTTGGGAGCGAGGGCTGAGATGAAATTGAAGCAAATGTTGATCCGCTTGAGTAAATACCCACCATTTTCTCAAGTTACAAATTGATTCTGAATGAAGAAACGCTTTCCCTGCTGGACTGTGGCATGAATAAAAGTTTTTGATGTGCTGGGGCAGTGATCTGGATAGTCACTCTTTAGAGGGGGTGGAGACCTCATGGGA